GGGGACCAGCAGTTAGCATAATGGCTATGTTGCTGGACTCCCACGTAGTCAACCACGGTTCAAGTCCTGGACCCAGTGTCTTAAACTCACACCAGGCGCGTGTGCATGCGTGCCCAAGATCCCGAGAGGAGAATGGAGGAGAAGGGATTGCGGCGTGGCCATCCCCCCTGGGGGATGATTTCTCGCTTTCTGTCTCTCTGTCTCTCTCTGCCTGTCTGACAAGCGCACACGCCCTGTAGCAAAAACCTCTCCCCCACAAAAAAAACTAAAAATTCTCTTATATATCAAAATAGCTTAAAGAGAGAATTTTAAATGTTTCCAACATACACCAAAAAAAATTGGAGATGAATATGTTAATTACCTAGATTTGATCATTATATTTTGTATTCATATGCTAAAATATCATACTTTAATTCACAAATATGTGCATTTATACTTGCAAATTTAAAAAATAATAAAGAAAAAAACAGCTGAACAATAGCTTGGAGGTTAAGGCAGCTGGATCCCTTATGGTTGACTGTGCAGTTCAAGTCGTTAATCCAGTGGCTTAAAAAAATGATGAATACCTGAATGCTCACCTAAAATCCCAAAAGGAGAAGAGATTGTGGTGTAACTAGTCCCTGTGGATGGGCTTTCTCACTTTCTTTCTCTCTCTTTCCAGTGAGCACACATGCCCTCTGGCGAAATTAGAAAACAAAACAATAATAACAAAGCTAATAATAAAAAAGATAAAGATTCAAGTTTATTCTTTAATATGTAAATATCCAGGCATCCCAGCAACATTTGTTAATAACATTATTCAATAGTTCTTGAATGTTCTTGACTGGAACTTTGCTGAATGTGTTTTTTTTTTTTGTTTTCATTTGTCAAATAAATATCTTAGTATATTGTTTTTCAGAAATAAAGAGTCCCTTGAGTATTTAGTCTCCTTCTTCACTACTCCTACCACTAATAAAAATGTCAACTATTTAAGAAACAAGTAGAATATTTAGCAAACACAAAAAAGAAGAATTATCTGTTGAAGATAATGAATATGATAATATATTGAGTTGAGTCAATATACAGTGTATTCTGGATGAGAACAATCATTTAGAACAGAATTATATACAGTGAGTGTATGTAAATAATTAAATTACATATATATAATATATATTATTGTGCATGAACAGAAGGGAAAATATAAGCAAAATACATGACAAGGCATTTCAAAATGTTTTTTATATTCAGGGTTTTTTGTGAATCACCTTTTGACTCAATCTTTGATGTGTGTTTTCTGGCACATTGTAGTTTGTATGCTGTTAAGAGCCATGGTGATGAACAATTCATTGAAGAGTACCCAATCATTGTTGCTGGAATTGTCCTCTGAGATACTGACATGCATTAAAAAGTTGATGCTATTGCTGTCCTAGTCAATGGAAGCATCCATAGAAAGTTTTCAGACAAAAACTAAGAATTTTCTTCCTCAACTTGTTCTTCAGTGAGTTTTTTGACTGAAGAGTAGTTGTTTTCCAGTCTTGTCACCAGAAATATAACCAAATTTGCATATGAATAGGCCTAGCATTATGCTCTATCATAGGCTCACTCCTTGAAGGGAGACATGAATATCATGTACCCTTGTGGTATTCAAAATATTTACTTTCCCTGCCTATGATGGGATAATTTATCTATTGTCACTGATAGCATGCCTGTCATATGGCTTGTTTTGGTTTGTGGAAAATAAAAGGTGTCATTTTCTAGCAGAGAAAAAAATAAAGTAAAAACCAAAAAGTTAAAAATAAAAAAAATCCTATTGTCTCCTACCTTCTCTGAAGAGCAACATGCCCTAAATATAAGAGCCACTCTTTTAACCTGATTCCTGAAAGAAAAAGACAACAGGAATTGCAGTCAAAATTAACCATTACAAACACGTAATGTGAGTGAAAAATAAAATCATAAGCCACTGATGTTTTTGTGTTGTTCATTGGTGCAGAACAATTTAACCTAAGCTGACTAAGTGATGCTAGCTACAATTCAGTGGTCATTTCTGTGAATAATCTAGAGGTGAACCAAAGAGAAAGAAAAAGGGTTTAATTAACTGAGTTTGAGCACAGGCAATGGCCAAAAGCTAACAAGTCCACAATCAACTCCAAGAACAGAAATTTCCATCCAGTTATATACACTTCTCCTTTATCCATAATTACCTACAATATAAATTTAGTAGTTCAATATTACTCTTACTCTCATGCGTTCCTAAAGTTTTTCTGTACACCCTTTCCTTTCACATGATATTTATGACCCTGTTTTTGTTCTTACAACGACACTGAATCTGTTAACTCTGACTTGTGGCATACATTGATAGATTCAGGGAAGCTACAACAAGCTTGAAGCTATACTATTTAACAAAATAAACTTAGTGCAGTGCTATTATGGTAAAAGATAACATGATTATAAATTTCCCAATTTAACCTGTTATATTGTGACCCTTGAGTAAACAGCCCCAGCTCTCAAGGTTTCTCCATGGAACCCTATCCAGGTCACTTTGTTGTGACCATTGTTTAAGGCAAATGACTTATGTTTTCTCTTCTAAGCAAACATGCCTATTTTTGACCTTATTTGTTGTAATAGTTACAGAAGTTACAGAAGCTATTGGGTCTTTGGAAAAGTCATGATGTATATTTCTGTTTTTCTATGCAAAATGCACACGACTTTTTTGATGACCCAATGCAAGCACTGGTTAAAGTTTAAAATATAAAAGGAATAAAATGAAACAAAAACAAAAAGTAGTTAACAAAACAGGAGTAAAAATTGTTTGTCCTTTCCTGTTACATAAGTGCAAAGATTGAAAGTCTCGTCGGGATATAGTCTACTTGTTCTTCCAAAGGACTCTTGACTTCTGCAGGACTTCCTGAGGATAGTCAATGAGTAAATGTTTGATGATTAATTTTCTTCCATAGGAGATTCAAGTTCAGGCAATTTAAGGCAACCTACAGTGAATACAGGCCAGTTCATCTAAGGTGCATTTGAACTGAATGGCTAGACCACTTAGAATCTCATTGAGCACACTGAGGGTGTGTGATAAATCATAGCCCAATTGCTAGGAGCCACCATGTATACCTATATTCTGGTGAAATACCCTAAAAATCTAAGGTCAGAAGCATTGTTAGGACTGGGGCTGGCTCTCCACTTCGGGATTTTGTAGAAGTTCTCATTAAGAAAGAAGTAGGATGGGGAGGGAAAGGGGTGAGGAAGATGTTGCAGCTCTGAAGGGTTTACTGCTATTTTCCTTCTCTCCTTGTAATTAAAGGATCAATCTTTAGTAAATAACTTATTTCTTTTTTATTTCTTTCCAAAGTAGAAAATTCAGCATGTGTACTCAAAAGTTCCACTGGAAAAATGGCTGAATTAAAAATATATTGGCACAATGATTAAGGTGTTGGACTCCCACATGACTAAATGCAGTTTTAGTCAAGTACCTGGTGGCTTGAAAATCATACTGGGTGCGAGTGTGTGCATGTCCAAAATTTCAGAAGAATAATGAGAAAGTCTTGTGGCCTGTTCATTACCTACAGGGGATAGTTTCTCACTTTCCTTCTCACTGTCTATCCTTCTCTCTCTCCATAAAGCATTTGTGCCCTAGGACAAAAATCTTCAAAAAAAAAAATAGGTATTAGAGATCCAATTGCAATTCGATGTTGATGGATTCACAAATATGGGTCCAACCACTTTCCTCAAGGAAATCAATATTGAGAGGTATTCATAAGCCTCAGATTCATTGATGATTTTCTTAAAACCTATGAGTCTGGCAACTCCAAAGCTGTCTTATCAGTCAGCTCCCATTATGAAGGAAAATAGCATACAGATGTAGAAGCATATTAACCTGTAGTCAAACATGTTTTCAAATTAACAGAGGACTAAACACACAAAATACAGCAGAACCAGGAAGACAATCAGATTCACAGAAATGCTTGCCATGAAGAAATGAAGGAGGATGCTCCTGCACTTCAGCTTCTAGGAGACTCTTTGTAACACCAATTTCCATTTTCATGACATTTTGAGAGTTATCTTAGAGTTTTGTTTTTGTTTTTGTTTCAGGTTAAAGGAGTTTAACAACAGTCAATTATGCATGTGCTCACATAACTGTAGCTGTTAAAAAGTGGAGGGTGAAAATCCCCGAATAAAAATATTTGCTGAGGATTCTTCCAGCAATTGTTGAGAACCCAACAGTCATGCTGGCTTGAGTTTAGTCTTGGTAACATGAGGTAAATATGGTTAGAGTAGCAGGAAAGATTCTTACAAATGTATTTCTATAAAAAATATAGATCTGTCCCTCTGATGTGTTGCCAACAACATCTACAGATATGCTAGGTGATGATTCCATGGTAACCAGCATTGGCCATCTGATCTCTTGATGCTATGTTGCATTGGCCCCAGGTAGCAGAGCATGGACATCACAGTACTGAGGTAAGCCATATTTGACAGAATCTTAAATGCAAAGGAATGATATGTGCATTTCTTGCCAAACACAAATGTAGCCCCACCAACAGTGCACATCAGAGAAATCTGAACTCGTCAGCTCAATCAATTGAAAGACACACACCCAAGATTCATCTTAAGAATTAAGAGCCCAAGAAGGAACTGTAACCTAATTCCTCAAAAGAAAAGCTCTCTAGCAATCCCTGTATGGGTGGTTGGATAATACAAATGCCAGGATAATTATCTTGAAGAGCCCCCTGAACAGTACTAGTTGTTGTTGGTCCAAATTCTTGGTGTTGAAGATCAGCCAGAAAATAACCCCCTGAATCTGTTAGCTCCAAATCACACAGTTTAGCCTGATCCAATGGCTGTTTGGAAGCCTCTGCCAGGAGACAGGGTCTCATAAATTTGACTTTCATATTTGACGATCAAATGATCTCAGATGACAAACATGACAACCACTGTGATCACCAAAAGAAGAAGGACTGTGAAAGTTCAGCATATAGGCTGCAATCACCATAGCCAGATAACACGGTATTAACATCACCATAGCCAGGTAACATGCTATTAAAATGCCCCAGACAATGTACTGAAGAATGGTTTTGTGTTTTCTATAAATGTCATAAACTGTATTATATTTCTTCCCAAACACCACTTTTGATGTATCTCTTGATCACCATTCACACACATATTCTTTGAATTCTGGAGAACTCTGCTCAATAGAGACCTATTTTTCTGTTTAAGCTGCATATGATTTAGACACTCTCCTGTGTGCTGTGGAGGGTCAGATGCCAGATTTCCTCCCCAGTTAGCCAACAAGAATGTTTTATACTCCAGGTGAGTGCTTGGGTTCTCTGTCTATATATAGTTTTTTAAAATTCTTTGGCATTATCTATAAATATAAAATTAATAAATCTATGGACAAACATAGTTTTACTTCTTTCCAATTTAGTTAAGTTTTATTTTTTCTAGCTTAAGTACTTTGGTGAGAAACTTCTGTATAAAGATGACTAACATTGGTATAAGCTATGTCCTTGTCCTATTCCTCATCTTAAAGGGTAAGTTTCAGGGTTTTTTTTTGCCATTTGGTATTCTACCTATTGGTTTTTCACTTATGGCATTTATTAGGTTGAGAAACTTCCTTTATTACAAGACAATGCCTTCTATATCTATGGGCATTTTTTTAATTTCATATATGCATGTCTCTAGTTTTTGTCTTATAGTTGATTTTTCTCATGAACAGTCCTGTATTTTACATAAAAATAAAATAAAGATGTATCAGGCATGGATCGATTTTCTTAAAAGACAAATGTAGAAAAGTTGGTAAAACAAAACTCCCTGGGATCTTAGGGAAAAAAGTACACAAACACAATATCATATGAGACCATGCTGTATTTAATTGTTTGAACTGTGGCCCCAAAGGCAGTGCTTAAATTATATTCTCTAGTGCACAAGTCTCAAAGCACATGAGGACATATTTGTGAACAGTTTTATGCAAAGATTGAGCTCTCTGATATTTTTGAGTTTTTTTAATGTAGGAGAAAAAAGTTAGATGAAACACTTAATAAAATCTACTATGAATTCCTGCTATTAATTTTAAACTTTTTCTAATGATCAAATACCAACAGACATATTATTGGTATTCATTCATTTTAGAAAAGGAATACTCACTAAATTAATAACTCAAATTCTCTGTATTTAAGTAAGTTGACTAAATTATTCTGTCATTTTATTTTAAAATAAAAATACTTATTGAGTTTTAGTAATTTTTGTCAGAGAACAATATATGTATAATTGAACTGCAGAAACTATTGGTTAATTCAGTTGAGAGAGCAAGATACAGTCATATGCTGCATAGCACAATTTGGGTTAACAACAAGTCACACATGTGATGATGAACCCATAATATTATACCATAGAAACATCTAAGTTTGTGTAAGTACACTGCAAGGACGAAACTCTTAGCAACGTGTCTTTCAAAAGGTATACATGTCATTAAGTGTTACATGAATATATTATGCCCCAATTCATTCTTTCATTAAAATAATACCCAATACTGATATTTTAGTGCTATCCATCTTTGTACACAGCAATGTAACAAGCATTTTTTTTGAAAGGAGTAAGAAAATATGGACCTTTTCTTCAAACTTCCTATACTATTTAAGAGAGAAGATAAAATAATAAACACATTTATAAACAAGATATATAGTTTGGGCCAGCAGGTGGCATAGTGGTTGAGGTTCAAGACTCCTACATGGTCAACTGCAGGTCGAGTCCTGAACCTGACAGCTTGAAACTCATGTTGGGAGTGTGCATGCCCAAAATCTCAAGAATGGAGAAGTGATTTCAGGGTAGCCATTTTCCCTTGAGGATGATTTCTCATTTTCTATCTCTCTGTGTGCATGCCCAAAATCTCAAGAATGGAGAAGTGATTTCAGGGTAGCCATTTCCCCTTGAGGATGATTTCTCATTTTCTATGTCTCTGTCTCTGGTGAACACACATGTCCTATATCAAAAATCTCTCTTATCTGAGAAACAAAGAAATATAGCATATAATAAACATGAATTTCAAGCATATTTATAGCAACACTATTCACTACAGCCAATATACAGAAGAATCACCTTGTGTCCATCAGCAGCTGAATGGATAAAGAAAATGTCATATATTTACAAACTCAATACTATTCAACTGTGAAAAAGAAAAATCCTATCAGTTACAAGAATGTAGATGAGCCTGGAGGACATTATATTAGTGAAATAAGCCAGGCTCAGAAAGATAAATACCATGTGATTTCACACCCAGGTGCTTTGATTGGGATTGCGTAAAATACGTAGATCAATTGGTGTAGAACTGAGATTTTGACTATATTAATTCTTCCAATCCAGAAACATAGGATGTCCTTCCACTTTTTTGTGTCGTTTTCAATTTTTTTTTTTTTTTTTTAGCTTCTTATAGTTCCTTGTGGAGGTCTTTAACAATTCTTTATTTCTAGGTGTTTTACAGTTTTTGTAATAATAGTAAATGGAATTACTTTCTTCAGTGCTATCTCAGTCTGCCAGGTATGATCTCAAAAAATTTAACCTTATAAAAGTAGAGTAGGTACCAGACTAGTAGTTATCAGAATAGTGGTTAGTAGAGGCTAGAAAGGAAGAGAGGCAGGATAGCTAAAGCTTTGTTAATGGATAGAAAGATATTGCTAAAGAGGCCAGCAGATGGTATAGTGGTTAAGGCACTGGACTCCCACATGGCCGACTGAGGTTCAAGTGCTGGATCTGGTGGCTTTAAAACCACACTTGGTGCATATGCATGCATGCCCAAAATCCTAGGAGGAGAATGGAGAAGAAGGGATTAAAGTGGAGCCATCCACTCTGGTGGGTGATTTTTTCCCTTTCCCTTTCACTGTCTCTTTCTCTGTCTCTCCTCTCTGGTGAACACACACCCTATGGCAAAAACTTAAAAAAAAAAAAAAAGAAAGAATGAGAAATAAGGAAAGGAAGAAAGAGAAAGGAGAAAGAATAAGGAAAAAAGGAAGAAATATAGTTAGATAGAAGAAATAAGTTCCAGTGGTCTATTGGACAGTAGGGTGGCTATGTGTAACAAAAATAAATTGTATATTTTAAAATGACTAAAAGAAGAGATTTTAAATAACTTCACCACAAAGATAAATATTTGAAGTGAGAGATATGGTAATTACTCTGATTTGATCATTGTACATTTATACATGTATAAAAAACATGTACCCCAGAAATACATTTTTCCCCAGTCAGTCCCTGTTTCTAAACAACCACTGATTAGATTTCTGTCCCTGTATATTAATTTGAATCTTCTAGAATGTTGTATGAATTACATTATACAATCTTAGAGTATGTATATTTTTTGCCTGGCTCCTTTCGCTTATCATAACTTTTTTGAAGTTTGATCCACATTGCACATACCAATATTTCATTCTCTTTTATTGCTGATTACTATTTCACTATATGCTTACAACAAATTTGTTTACATGTTAAGGGACATGTATTGGCTACTACAAATAAAGCTACTGTGAACATTCATGTAAAAAAGAACTATATATAACAATTATGTATCAATTAAAGTACATAAAAATAAATAGATAAACAGAAATTCTTAGGAGAAGAAACAATAACTTAAGCTTATTAGTTATTGAAATATTATAGAAAACCTAATAAAAGGGAAAGATAAACTGCATGCATATGCTATTTAACAGAAATGGATAAATCTGTCATACCTAGAGAAAGATGACAGTGGTAAAAATGCTGATGCTGGCACCAGCAGATGCCGTAATGGCTACATCACTGGACTCCCATATAGTTGACTGTGGTTCGAGTCCCAGACCTGGTGGCTTAAATTCACACCAGGCGTGTGTGCGTGCATGCTCCATCCCAAGAGAAGAATAGAGGAGGAGGAACTGTGGCATGGCCATCTCCCCTCAGGGATGATTTCTTGCTTTCTGTCCCTCTGTCTCTGTCTTTCTGGAGAGCACACATGCCCTATAGCAAAAACCTCTCCAAAAAGAAAAAAAAAAAAAACTAATGCTGAATAAATCTATAAGGGGCGTTATTTTTTTCTGGAAATCTCCATCCCAAGAGAAGAATGGAGGAGGAGGAACTGTGGCATGGCCATCTCCCCTCAGGGATGATTTCTTGCTTTCTGTCCCTCTGTCTCTGTCTTTCTGGAGAGCACACATGCCCTATAGCAAAAACCTCTCCAAAAAGAAAAAAAAAAAAAACTAATGCTGAATAAATCTATAAGGGGCGTTATTTTTTTCTGGAAATCAGACCGAATAATTTAGATTTCATGCATTTCATATATTTTCCAATAAACAAAACTGTTAGAAAACTACAATTAATTATTTCTTTTCTTTTCTTTTCTTTTCTTTTTTTTTTTTTTTTGTTTTTTTTTTTTTTTTTTTTTTTTTTTTTTTTTTTGTACAGCCACTTCTCATTCTTCTCTCGGGATTTTTAGGGAT